ACCCTTTAGCCATTATCTTTACTAATCTTCACCTTTACCCCATTTCAGTTTTCAGGTGTACACAGACCTACTTCTATATTCTTTATTATTTTCCACTTGTCCATTTGTCTGGTGTTATTCTACTCTGTTACTATCACTTGTCTTATGTCTTATTATCTGCTAAGGTGCGTCTTCACTCTTCTCTCTGCTTCAAAATGCACTTGGCCTGTTCACATATCCTTTGACACCAGAAGTCCACTTTTTAGAATTTATCTTACAGATATACTTGAACTAAGCAAAATTAGTACATAGAAGTTTAGTCATTGCAGCATTACTTGTGATGGCCAAAAATTGGAAACTTCCAAAAATAGGGGACTGGTTTAATTAGGGTAAGTTCAAATAGTGGAATACTATACTATTGTTAAAAAGAAAGAGGAAGGAAGGAAGGAAGGAAGGAAGGAAGGAAGGAAGGAAGGAAGGAAGGAAGGAAGGACTTTTTATCTGTTGATATGGAAAGATCTCTAAAATATATTACTAAGTGAAAAACTTATAAAATAGTGTATAGAATAGGCAACTTTTACATAAAAGGTGGGATGAACAAGGATCCATATCTGGATTCACTTATATACACATAAAGACAGACTGAAGGGACAGAGCATAAGAAACTAAGACATGTGGAGTCTTGGAGGTCAGCGAACTCGGGCAGATGGAAGACAAGGATGGGAGGGAGACATTTCACTGTCTACCTTTGAATCCTTTCTTATTGAAGCATGAGAATGCATAACCTATTCAAAAAGTAACCTAAAATAAAAAATTAACTTAGTTCTTCATGAATGTATATTCTTCCATATAAAACTTAGACTAAATTTGTTGAACTACTAAAAAAATAAATAAAAAAAATTCATTGGAAACTTGACTAGGATGAGACCTTTGCTCTTCACTACTCTGCTCTTCCATCAGGTGTCAGGAGAGCAGGAGAAGGCCCTGGTCAGGCGGTAACCGGGACTGAACAGTTAAGAATCCAGGAGAAGCCCTGGCCGGTTTGGCTCAGCGGTTGGAGCGTCGGCCTGCGGTACAGAGAGACCGGGGTTCGGTTCCCGCTAAGGGCATGTACCTCGGTTGCAGTTTGTCCCCGGCCCTGGTTGGTCGTGCGGGTGGCAGCCACTCGATGTGTCCCTTCGCATCGATGTTTCTCTCTCTCTCTCTCTTTCCCTCCCGCTCTATCTGAACAAAAAATGGAAAAATGTCCTCGGGTGAGGATAAAAAAAAAAAAAGAATCCAGGAGAAAGTCTCCAGGTTTATAAGCTACTGGCTTCCTTTTGAACAACGGCCATTTAAAAGCATCTATTCCACTACTTTCGGTTTACATAACTGTTTCATTAAGGAATTAATCTTTGGGGAAGAGGTAAAAGAGGTATTAAATATAAACCTTTAAAGCACCTCTTCACTCCCTGGCCAGTTTGGCTCAGCAGTTAGAACGTTGGCCCATGGACCAAAGAGTCTCAGGTTCGATTCCAGTCAAGCAGTTGCAATTCCATTCCCTGCCCTGGTTGGGGTCATGTGGGAGGCAACCAACTGATGTGTTTCTCTCACATCGATGTTCCTCTCTCTCTCTTTCTCCCTCCCTCCCTTCCTCCCTCCCGATCTATCTGAAAATCAGTGCGAAAATATCCTCGGGTGAGTATTAATAATAATAATAATAATATTATAATAATAATAAAGCACCTCTTCGTGAGCAGTGACCTGTACCTGAAACACAAGTGTGGAGCAAAGCCTCATCACCCACCTGCTGGCAGGTTATCTTAACTGCAGGCTGAGCACTTGAGAACTGTCTTTGTGGAGCTGAGGTTACAAATCCAAACCCAAGAAGGGCAGTCGGACATGCTTTGCAAACTTGTTTGCTTTGTTTATTTTTCTAAACATCAGTCCGGTTTTTTGTCCTGAAGAATCATAGATTCCAAATTAGTAGAGTCAAAATTAATGAGATTTTCCAGTAATGAGCCTGAGACTAAAATTATGGAAAATTCACTAATTATAGACTGTGCGGCTACCTAACCACGACTGGGACCAAGGCCTCTGCAGGGAGGGCGAGGGAGGGAAGAGGGAAGGTCATAGATGAAACCTGTACCTGACCATCCTTCCTTCCTCTTGCCACTGCCCTTGTCCCTGGCCTTGGTGGCCTCATAGCGCCCAGTGCTTCCTGCCTCTGAACTACTAACTCCCCCTCCCCCCAGCTGGGTCCAGCTAGGCCCTACTTCTAAGGGCTAAATTCCTGGAAACTACAAAAGAGCCCAAGTGGAGGTGGGGGACATGTTTTCTCCTCGGTTCTAGGAAACAGTGGGAGAGGGGTGCTGAGAGAAGGAAGAGGCTAGAAAAGGCAGACAAAATGCCCATTATACCCAAGCCCGTCAATTTCCTTTTTCATCTCTTTATCAGTGTTTGTGAATGAGCTTCTTATCAACAGGAAACGCCTGCCTAAGGGGATGGGGCAGGTCCAGGGGGACTGGACGCCAGGGCCTGGGAATTCTGGGTAATGCATTGCCGATGTCCAGCCTGACCAGTGGCCTCCTGATTCCCAGGACCCAGTAAGGCTCCCAGGCATTTTGTCTCGGCATCTGGTGAATCATTAGGAAGATAGCGCACCCGACGGGCCCTGAGGCTGATGGATCTGGAGGGAGGCCTGGGTGGGGGCTCAGGTCTAGCCCTCTTTGACCAAGGACAGGTCACCAGAGAGCTCCAGCTATGACATGAGAATCACCCTTGCCCCTAAAATCCACCAAACCCTCTCCTTTCTAGCTGAGAGGCCAGTGCCATGACAAGTGCACAGACGACTTAGTGATGGTCACCCCACTGGCCTTTCTAGTGTTTGCCTCAAACCCTCAGAGGATGGTTGGGGCCTGTGCTGGGCACCCAGGCCTGGGACAGTTAGGTGCTTAGCACAGACTTCTGAATGAAGGACAGGAGGGGGACTCTAGTACTGATTGACCTCCTACTGGGCGCCAGGTGCTTTAAAAACATTGATCATCAGATTAGGATACTGGTCTCTCAGATGGGGCTCCTAGGAGAGGGAGAGACGGAGGGCCAGACTTCCCACGAGGCTAAAAGCAAATCTTAGTGCTGAAATTAGATGCCCACGAGGGCTGTCTGGGCCAAGCAAGGCCTTATGGGTGGCTGAGAGGAGCAGGTTTATCTGGTCGTCTTTGTGTGGGAGCTGGCTGTTCAGGAGGAGAGGCGGGAGAGGCTCCTACAGAACAGGAGACAAGCCACCTTGCTGCTGCTTGCTTGTCCTCTGCCTCCCAGCTGCCCTTGAGCGCCACACTCTGCCTTTGGTGGTGGCGGTAATAAAGGAAATTCCAGTGTGCCTCTTGCCCTGTCCCTGTGTCTCCCTGGACAACCCCACTCTCCCCCCAGTGCAACACTTGCTCCTGCAGCTGGGGATCTAGGTCAGTGAGAGTGGGTGGGTGAGAAAGAACAGAGAAGAGACTCATCCAGACGTGACACCCCGCAGGGCAGCGGTGCCAACACTTTAACCTGAAAACTGACTGAAAATAGACTGTGTCTATGACATTATGCAAATCATATGCAAAGTCAAGAAGCCCTCTGCCTCTATTTCTAGCAAACCGAATGTGGCCCTGATGGAAGCAGCTCGTTCCAAGAGTCGCCCACCCAGAGTGACGACTGCACAGCTAGCACCAGTCCCCGCCCTGGGAGGCTGGACTCAGGATGGCATGCCCCCCTCACTCCACCTCCAGGGCCGGGTCTTTTAGGCTTGAGGACTTTGCCAACTCTTGGTCTGTTCACGTTGATACGAGTAAGGATATGGAGGAAGCAGAACGTCCTCCTTGAAGGTAGACGTGAGGCAGGACGGAGGGAGAATGGTGACTAGGAGGGTACAAAGAACTGTCCTTGAAGGTCTGAGTACCACCAGGGGGAGGGGTGTTCTTCAACATCAAAGCTCATGCTCTAGGGACCACCTTCTCCCCCACTGGAGCATGTTGTAGACACTCATCATCCCTTAGGGAGGGTCCACACAGATGATCCTCTTCCTTTTGTAGGGGTAAGAACCCGAGGCCACCAGGAAAGCAGAACAAAGCTGCGAAGAAATCAGTGGGTTTTCTTTCTTTCAAAGGCAGGCAGGTTCTTGAGGTTTCGTGTGGAGACAGGGGCTTGGGTGCCGTGACCTCTCAGGGACTCTTCTAACCCCGGAGGGCAAGGAGCCAATTCTCCTTTCCCAGATCCCTGCCAAACTTCTTGTAACTCACTTTCTGCAATTTTCTTACTGCCCCTTTGCCCACTCTCCAACCACAGTGTGGACATCAGGGCGAGGTCTGGCAGGCACAGGGGTGGGGAAAGACTGCATTTGTGGGATGCCAGGAGTGTCCTCACTTCCCCAAAGCTGGTCTGAGAGGTCCTCAGGGAGGAGGACACCCACGCTCTGTTGTTCGGGCTCCATGAGCACATGCTCCAGGCCTGGGGCCGACTTGGGAGTGGAGGGAGTAGGGGAGGACCTCTGGCTAAAAGAATTGGGGTACCCTTTCTGTGCACTCTAAGCAAGGCGGGGACTCCATTTGAAGAGGGAATTGAGAACAGCAAATTCAAGCAGGCAGGTCCAAGCCGCCTCTGCGTGAGGACGCGGAAAGCTCTTTGGAGGTGTGGCTTTCCCGGGGCAGTACATGCAAAACAGTAGCACTCTGGCGCCCAGGGTGTGGTGAGGAGATCCCCACGGTCAAAACCCAAGGATCCCCGCGCAGGGCGGGAGGGCAGCGACCGCTGGGCAGCCCTTCGGCCAGCAGAGGGCGATGTGGCCGGCACCGAGAGCAGCCTGCTGCTGGCTCAGGGTCTAAATAGAAATTTGGGGCGCTGCGGGGGCGTCTAAGCAGAGGCCTGAGCAAATCATGAGCTGACAATTAAGGACTAAGCCCAGTCATGATACCCTGGGACCTTCTCCTCCCCTGTCCCCCCAGGTGCCCTCTGTGACAGGCCACTGCAGAGGCTCTGGCCTAGGAAAACTCAGCGGGAGCTCAGGATTCAACCATGGTTTTATTGAGGACCTACTATGTGCTATGCATGAGCTAAGTGCTCTCACAACCAGTATCTCCAGGTAAAAGACTGTCATTTTGACCCTGGACCACCTTTCTGCACCCAGGCAGAAGCTTTATGCAGACTGATTACCAGTGCCCCCTTCCCTCCCTGGCCACTGGCGGTTCTCCCAACACTGGCCCCCTTTTCTCAACCCTCCCCCAGTCACTCCACCTCCTGCCTGACCTTCTCCTCTTAGGGATTTTCTAGGCTTTGGGAGAGCTGCCTTCCCTTTCTGGCTGTGGAGTCTCAGAAGGAGCCTTTTGGCCCCCAAATTCATTAGAGAGAAAATCTTTCAGGGAAGAACTGATTTCTGGGCTGGGTGGGTTCCAATGACCAGAAGACATGAAGCAAGCTGCCCCGTGATGATCTGGGAACCCTGCAGGTCCATCTAGCTTTTGTTTTCACTCAGTTTCACTTCCTGGTTCTCCCCCAGGGACCTTGCACAATGCTGGGAGACAGGCCTGGGAAAGTGCCTGGCGGCGATGGTGGAAGGAACACTCACGAAGCTGGCCCACGGAGGCTGCACTGGGTCGTTCACAACAGGAGGGAGGAGGCTGTTTTATTCGCCTCCTGTGAAGAGCTGAGGCTTCTTCTCCACCCTGCCACAAGGACTGAGGGCTGTGAGGTCAGGTCTTCCCAAGGTGGGGCTGTCCTTGTCCCTAGCATGAGCCCAACCCCACCACCCATCAGACTCTGCCTCCAAACCACTGCTCCCGAGCCCATCCACCTGCCCATGGCTCAGGCTAACCTCCTCAACGCACGGGCTTCCAAACACCAAACTTGCCATGTGTTTCTCTACAACCACCAGGTTCTTTCTAGACACACACTCTCCGGGACCTGGCCAAGGGTGTGGGCCTGGGCCAGGGGCAGTGGGGAGCAGGACCTGGGTGCTAGAGGCTTATTGGCTGGAGTCAGATTTCTCTTGAACCTTGGAGGCGCTGCAGGAAGCCAGCATCGGCTCCTCTAGTGCTGGGTAGAGAAGGCAAAGCCACAGAGGCAACAAGGGCTGACTTGTCTGCCAAAAGGCCAGGGACTGTCTGAGCCCAAGGATGGCCATTGGCAGGAACTGGAGCCTGTAGAATTAGACTAGGAGGCGTCTTAGCCACTCCTGGCCTCAGATAAAGTTATTTTCAAATCCCCGTCTTGGGGCAAATTGCCAGGGGCTGGGGCATAGGAGAAGAGGACACTATGAATTGAGTTCTGAACATGCTGACATTTCAAAGAAAATTAGAGCTGAGAAAACCTCAGAGGGCATCAGGACCAACTCTTTCGATATGCAGATGAAGAAACAGGTCCTGGGACAGCGACGGCCTCCTCCTTGTCATTTAGCAGCATCCAGGACCAGAACCTGGGTCTCTGACTCCCAGCTGAGCCTTCCCCACCCATGCTTGGCCTCACTGGCCTCTTAGTTATTCTCAAAGTCCTGGCCTTACCCATCTCACCTGCCACTTCTCCAATGGCTTACTACCCGCCACACCTGCGGCCAGGATGGGGGCAGAGGAGGGGCCCAGGATAGGCTCCAGGTCTCAGGCAGCTGGTAGTCAGCTAGCAGGGGTCTTGTCCAGGAGACAGAGGCCCAAGGCATCATGGAGCGGAGCTACAGACCCTCGGAGAGAAACTCATGGGCCCTGGGTGTCTGGGGCTTGGGCCAGAAGCTAAGGCCTGGCAGGGCAGGGTGTCTGGAGAAGGCTGGACTGGGCCCTGTGCCACTGTGGCAGTACCAGGTCTGGTAGGGCAGTGGGGTTGACCGAGGGCAGGGGGTAAAGTGCAGGCCCAGGCTCTTGGCCCAAGAGACCGGGATTCCCTGGCTTGGCCCTCCTAGCTCTGGGGCCTCCTTTGCATTCTGTCCTGGTGTAGTAGGGGGTGTGCCCAGGGCATGGTGGTGGGGACAGAGCCAGGCGTCAGGGAGCCTACTACTCTGAGCAGGCCAGACAGTGGGGAGATCGAGTTTCAGCCCAGCTGTATTTTTGGCTGGATGGGCTGGGGGCAGAGCTAGGCAGACACGGGTGCCCCTAGAGGGGCACGTCCCTCTCCAGCACACACACTTCCTCCACCCATTAGACCTCCATTCACCGCCTCCCCCTCCCCCCACACACTGCAGGCTGAGGGGAGTCAGGTGTCAGGCCCTTGGCTAGTCAATCACTTTGGGCTTCTCAAAACTGCTGCTGAGTTTCTGTAGTGTCTTCTTGATCCTCAGTGCAGAGAGGCGGGCAGAGGGGTTGGGGTACCAGCACTCTCGAATCATCTGAGCCATGCCTGAGAGGACCTGAGGGGAGGGAGAGACAGGCAGAGGAGAGAAGCAGAGACAAGGGTCAGAGAAGATGCGCAGGAGAAGGCGAGGAGAATGGCCCAGGACAGAAAGGACGGGGAGAGCGGAGATGAGAGTGTTGAGGAGGGGGAGGAAAGATGGAAGTGGAAAGGGGGGGGTGGAGGGATCCAGGCAGAGATGGAAAGAGTAAAATAAAAAATAGAAGAGGAAGAGAGTGGAGTGAAAAGGTGGGTGGAGAAAGGCAGGCAGGACAGAAAGAGGGTGTTACTTGGATCTTCAGGAGCACACAGGTCCCCGTGGTGAGTAGTGTCTGTGGAACACCTTACCCACCCCCACCTCCACCAATACCCAAGAAAGGGGAGATATGCAAGCCTTGGGGCTCCCACATCCCCACCAGCCAGACTCCAGTGCAGAGGGCAGTGTCTCCCAGCCCTCCACCAACCCTGCCTGGGCCCAGTGAATGGGTAGTGGGCACTGCCCTCAAAATGCACCTGTCCAGGGAGGAACCCGTCCGGGGAAGCTCAGTGGCCCCAGAGGGAGCCAGTCCCACCCCAAGCTGGTCTTTAAGAGGAATTGTGTGTGTGCGCGTATGAATGCATGTGTGGCTTTTTGTGGATATGTGTGTTGTATAAAAATGTACATGTGTACATATATGTATGTATATGTATACATTTATTCATTCTTTTCATAAACATTCATTGAGCCCAGCTGGTGTGGCTCAGTGGATAGAGCGTCATCTCATGGACTGAGAGGTCCGGGTTCAATTCCTGGTCAAGGGACACACCAGGGTTTCGGGCTCAATCCCTAGTGCGGGGCGTGTCGGAAGCAGCCAATTGATGTTTCTCTCTCACATCAATGTTTCTATCTCTCTCTCTCCCTTCCTCTCTCTCTCTAAAAAAATCGATAAAAACAAATTTTAAAAATAAATAAATGAACATTTATTGAGGACCAACTGTGTGCCAGGCAGTCATCGATGACAGGGACGGAGGGTTGCAAAGGAGACATGCTCTGTCTTCACAGGGCTGGCAGGCTGCCTTATACATGCAGTGTATGTATCTGTGAGTGTACCTTTAGGTAGCAGCATGCGTGTGCCTATATGTGCTTATATACACATGCGTATGTCTTGTAAAAGTATATGGAGTGTTTTGAAAAAGATAAAAACAAACAACAACACAAACTTCATAGTGAGAAATGCAGCAGAGGATCTCTGGTTTTTCCAGCAAGGGAAGGGTTCTGAAAATCCGAGAATAACTGAAGGGTCCCTGGGGGTCCACAGGCCAGGAACATGGAGTGGTGTAGCCAGGGAGGGACCCTGGAATCTACCCCCAGAATCTCTCCAGGTGAAGCAGAGCCCCAGACACGTCCCTGGGCCCAGAGGTTCCAGCTGTGAGCCACAACCCCATGCCACCCCAGCCCACAGAGCCCTCACCGGGTCCGCAGCCAGCCTGTTGGGGATGGTGGGGGTCTGCTGGTCAACACACACCACCTTCTTCATGTCCTCAAAGCTGGGATCGTTGGGCACTACATCATAGAAGGGTGGCCTGTAGTCCTCCACAATGCCTGGGAATGGAGGGTGAACAGGACAGTCACTCGGGACCCCAAGAAGGCCCAATCCTATCTAGACCCTCTGTCCCAGGGGCCAAGATACCAGTTGTCTGACCACGCTACCCTTGAGAGAGACACTATAATATTATAAATATAAAGAATAATCACTACTTCCATTTGTTTTGCACTTACCATGTGCCAGGCATTGTGCTATAAATGCTTTATATGCATTATCCTTTCTTTACGACAACCTTATGAGGTGGGTACTATTATTACGTGTATTTTACAGATGACGACACTAATGCTCAGAGAGGTTGAGGCCAGCTAATAATGGCAAAGTCAAGACTTAAATTCGTCTTGGATTCCTAGGTCAGATCTTGCTCTAGCCTTTCCACAGCTGCTTCCCACGCAGGGCCTGGCTCCCAGGTCCCAACTATCACAGATGCCTAATGGTACCAATGTTTCCTGAGCACTTACTATGTACCCGGCACTGTCCTAACTGCACTGCATTAAGGCTTCACAATGGCACTATTAGGACCTCCACTCTATCGGCAATGAAATGAAGGCCAGAGAGATTAAGGAAGTTATCTAAAAGCATAGGTAACAGGTGACAGAGCTAGGATTCAAGCCCAGAAAATCTAACCAAAGGCATGCTCTTGACCTCCAAGCTGCACTTAAGGGAAGGTAGCTGACTGACTGCTGGGTGAGGATATGGAACCAGAAGGGCAAGAAAATGCCTCTCTTAAAAGAAAGGGATTTTTATCTAAGTCCAAATAACATCACCCCCTCTTAGGGATGGCACAGGCCTCCATGGACCCCCTCGGCTGGCGGCACCCCTCCCCTCCTTATACCAAGTGTGCAGTCCTTAGCAGATTTCTGAAAATGATGCCTGTGGAGCTGCTGACAGCTTGGGCAGGAGGGGACAGACCTGGAAGAAGTGCCCCATGCCCCACCCTGCTTCCCAGGCCGAGGCTGGGGACCAGGGCCACACGGCCACAACCCTGGGAGAGCCTGCACCAGCTGTTCTCCCCATGGCGGGCTTCCAGGCCGGCCCCTGTGCCGCTCGCGCCCTAATCAGTGCTGCACAGAGGCCTGAGCGTGTCTAATGGGCCTTTAATCAGTGCCGGGGCTGACACCAGATTACAGTGTTTATAATGCGCCACTGAATCTGTGTGGGGCTGACGAAGCTTCCCTCCGCCCCAGGAGCCTGCAGTCAGCCTCCCCCTCGGCCCTGGCTGGCCCAGCCTTCCTTTCCTGCCTGCAGCCTGGTCCAAGGGGCTCAGCTCCTTCAAGGTGCCCCTTTTCCAGACCCAGCCTCTAGAGCTGACTCTGAATGCTCATGCCTGAAGGGGCAGGAACCTGAGCCCCTCAAGTCTTCCAGAGGGACTGGTTACACCTCAGCCTCCACTCATCAATGACTGCTGAGAGCAAATGAAGCCTGGCATGAAGCTGTCTCCTCATAGATGCTCAGGAAGTGAGAACGTCCCTCTCCCTAAGGAACAGAGTTCCAGTCATATTCTAAGGGTTGTCTCCAAACTGTCAGGACTCCTGGCAACCCCACCCTACGGGTAGCCTCCACAAAGACTGACAAGCCTCCATTCCCAGTCCAGACACCAACCATCATCCATCCACCTCAGGGCTGGGAAGGCATTGGTCACAGGGCTGCCCACTGTATGGGGCCAGCAGGAATGCGGTCCCTCTGCCTCTCCAAGCCACTCCGAATCTGAGCCCCTGTGGCACCCACGAGGAAGCAATAAGCAGGCAGTGCGAGCACTGTTGTATCCTACATTTCTGTGGCCAGGGAAACCAAGGTCCAGAGAGGTTTAAGAAGCATAGTGACAAACAGCACTGGCCCCAGAGTCAGATTGCCTGGTTTCAGACCCTGGTGCTGCATCTAGCCAGCTCTGATTCTGTGCCTCAGTCCCCTCGTCTGTAAAATGGGGATGATACTGTGTCAGGGATTCCTTATGACAACAATAATGCCACTAATATTTACTGAGCTCCAGAATAGCTCCAGATATTGTCCTAAATACTTTATTTGAATTATCTCAACAATTAGAAATTATTCTTATTCTCATTTTAGAAATGAGGAAACTGAGCACAGAGAGGTTAAGTAATATGCCCATGGTCAGTGGCAAAATCAGGAATTGAACCTAGGCAGTCTGATTCTCAATATAATGCTCTGAACCACTAAGCAATACCAGCTTTCTGCCAACACAGGACGGTAAAATAAGACAATACATGTGTATTATGTGGCATCTGGCACATATTTAAGCTCAATAAATGTTAGCTGCTATTAATATTTCTGTTATTATCACTCACCCAAGATTTCACAGCCAGAATCACAGACTTGCAGACTCAGATGAACCTTAAAAGGTTGCTCAGCTAAACCAACTGGTGAGTAGCAATGAACGGAATGTAGGCGGTCTGGGCACAGCACCTTAGGCCACAGGCACCAGCCAAGGCAGGAAGTCCCATCTTCTACTTATCCATCCACTTGCCCCATTCCCCTTTCCTCACCCTGTGCAGGGCGGGCCCTCACCATTGACAATGGTCCGGCGGGTGATCTCCCACAGCACCAGGCCGAAGGCCCAGATGTCCGTCCACTTGTAGGACTCGAAGCAATCGGTGCGGATCTGCTCATCCAGCACCTCGGGGGCCATGTACCGCTTGGTGCCCACTCGCGGGTTGTTGACGATGTCCAGATAATCGCTACCCTGTGAGTGCATCACAGCCAGGCCTGTGGGTACCAGGGCTGTCACTTCTGCTGCTCAACCGAGCCCACAGGCTGGGGTTCAGGGAACAAGGAGGGGTTGGAGGTGGGACACAGAGGGGCAGGCAAATGGAGACCTGCCCTGAGGTGGGCTGGGAGAACAACTGGCCCTCTTTCGCTCCGCTTGTGTAGCGCTCTCTGGGTGCCCAAGAACCCAGAGAGATATGAGTGGGCAAGCAGGCATCATTACGCCCATTTCATAGAGCAGAAATCCAAGGCCCGTGAGTGGGAGCGACGTAGTTAGTTGTGCAGCCAGGACTAACCCAGGTCCCTGGCTCCCTGCCCCTTTCTCAACTCCTGGAGCCCAGGGTGGTGTGGTGGACAGAGTTTAAGCTTAAAAAGAGTGTTGGGCAACTTGTGGGGCTCTTGTGGAGGTGAAATGAGATAGCAAACATCTCTTTAAGTTTTAAAGCGCCAATCAGTCTCGTGGTGGTCGCTAGGCACGCGCGGGGCACACAGGCAGAGCCCGGAGGAGAGGGCCAGTGCAGGACCTGGGAACTCCCACCGCCTGCGAGGGGGCCGCCCCTTCCCTGCCCCGCCCCTTGGAGGAGCCCACCTTACTCCACCCCTTTCTCCACACCACCCCTTGGGAAGGGCCCGCTCCTACCCCACCCGGCTCACCCAGGTCCGCAATGCAACACTGCAGGTTGCTCTTGACCAGCACGTTGCGGCTCTTGAGGTCGCGGTGGGCGATGGCGGGTTTGCCCTGAGTGCCAAAGATCTCCACGTGCAGGTGCGCCAGGCCGCAGGCCGCGGACACAGCCAGCCGTAGGGCCAGCTGGGGCTCCAGGGCCTGCCTCTGCAGAAAGTCGTACAGCGAACCATGCTCGTGGTAGTGCGTGATTAGCCACAGCTGCGTGCTCGAGTTGCGGGAAGTCATGTCCGAGGCAATAAAGCCTATGGGCAGGGGGTCAGGTGGCTCAGCCAGGGTTTAGAGATCAGGGAGCCTGGACTGGTCAGGGTCAGGGCCGGGACTGAAGGCACAGCATGAACTGGGTCAGGGCAAACCTGGGGCTGGGGTGAAGGCTGCTCTGGCTTAGGTCAGAGAGGAAGTGGAGTCAGAGGTTGGGGCTGGGGACCGGCTGGAAGTCCTTCAGGGTTGGGTCAGTGTCCAGAGGCTGGGGACTCCACCTTGAGCTCAGAGGGACGAAAGCCCCGGGCCTGGCACAGCACCACTCCCCCTGCCCCCAGCTTGCCTAGGATGTTGTCATGTCTGAGCAACACTGTGTTGTAGATCTCGGTCTCCCGGAACCAGGACTGTTCATCCCTCGAGGAGAATATCTTGACGGCCACACTCTCACCATGCCACAGGCCTCGCCACACCTCGCCATAGCGGCCCTTCCCTGATCCAGTGGCCAGAGGGAGGGAGGAGGTCACGCAAGCCCCTGGGCACAGTAGTCCCCAGAAGAGCCTGCCATCTTGGTGCTGCACGGACCCATCTGCAGAACCTCCGACACTTACGTTTAACTCATTCCAGACCCAAACCCAGCAGGCAGGTCCCCACCCGCCTCTTGTTCCATACCGGCTTCTGCAGAAGGATCTAGCACTGACCCATATCCAACCCACTCCTTGCCCAGCGGAATTCCCATTCTGAGCCAGACCTGGCCCTGTCCGTGACTCCAGAGGCCAAGAGCTCTCTCACCCCTCCAAGCTCATGGGAGACTTTGGTCCCCGTCCCCCAGGCTCACCCACTGCTCACCCACACACTCCACCAGGGCGACCTGCCGTGCCACTGTCCTCTGCACCAGAAAGGGGAGCCCTGAGCCACTGCCTGTTGTACAGTCACTGTCCAGAAGGTCCTGGGGGTACCGAGAGGCCCCTGAGAGGCTGTCCCTCACCCAGCCCCCTTCTGCCTCTTCCACCTGGCCCCTGCTACTGCATCTCTGTGTGCTCCTCATTCACCCAGCCCAACACCCCTGGAATAAGTGTCTGTGGTTGTGCCTTTCTCAGCTCCCTGTCACTGCATCCCCTCTGATTCTGTGGCTTCTGTCTATCCCTCCCCCCATCCTGCATCCCAAGTTTCCCATGCTCATACCCCTGACATGCTGTCCCCCTGCTCGGATGCCTTCAGGATGAGTTTTGATTCGCCCAGCTCGCTGTGCAGGCCCGGATGTTTCTCCTGCCTTCGCTGGACATGCCACAGGCCCAAGGCACCCAGGGCCACCAGGGCCAGCAAGGCCAGCACAGTGCCCAGGATCAGAGGCAGCTGGCTCTCTGCTTGCGGCTGCTCCAGGGTTGGGGTGGCTGCCAGAGGGAGGACACTGAGACACAGCTTCCATCAGGCCATTTCCCCTCCCACACCTTATTAGATCCCAGGGTCCTGCCTCCCCCGCCCCCCTGGCCAGAGCAGAAGAGGAAAGCAGGGTGAGAGGAAAGGGTCTGAGAAAATGGGGAGGGGCTGCTGAGGCAGCTGGACGTACCCTTCAGCACCAGGGACACGTTCTGGTTGCAGAGGGAGCTGTAGCAGCAGTAGTGGTTGACAAAGTCGGTGGGGCGTGTCCTGCAGAGGTCTTCGTGCAAGCTCCCACAACCTCGCTCTTCCCGGAGGTGCCTGCCCTCGTCCCGTACCAGCACCACAGTGCACCAAGCGCCCTGGCAGATAGGCTCATGGCAATATGGGTTCATGCATGTACAGTTCACCAGTGGACCCTGGGAGGGCTTCACAGGGTCACCTGGGAGACACAGCAGAAGCTCAGTCACTCTGGGCCCAACTCCCCAGGCTGAGCCCAACACCCACTGACCTCCCCCTTCTGACCTACAGACAAACCCCTCGAGGCCTTCGTCCCTTAGTTCCACCCTCAGATTATCCTTCCCTCTAGAGCTCCCCCCACCCCACCCAAGGGGCAGCTGAGACTATGAGAACCGGGCCTCTGTCCCTTCCCTGATCCTAGGGCCTCCTCTCCCAGTCCCAGGCCCAGCCCTGGCCCCCAGCCCCGACCCTGAGAGCTCTTCCAGGCACTCCCCACTCTCTGCACCCCCAGATAGAGGTCTCCACCCTGGAGCCTGGAAGAACACCAGCCTAAAGGTTGGGATCAAGAGAACGGAAAAAGGGGGTTGGGGTAGCCTGTCTCCTGCCCTCCAGCCAAGTTCCAAAGTCCCTTCTCCCCACCTCCTCAAACAGCCCCGGCAAGAGCTGAGCCCAGAGAGCCCTTTCTCCATCCAGGCCCCTGTTCCCCACAGCACTCACCCTGGGTCAGGTTCAAAGCCATTAACAGAATCAGAAGGCCTCTCCTGAGGGGGTCCAAGGTCATGGTCCTGAAGAGAGGAGCAGACGAGGGGGTGCAGTAAGATCTGTGAAATGTGATCCTCTCTGTGTTTTCAGCCACTGATCGTGGGTCCCTCCCACCCAGAGGAAATCACTGGGAGTGTTGGGGGGGGGCAGGGAGGCCTCCTCACTACTCCACTGCGCCTGGCTTTGGGGTGGGGCCTGCAGGGGAAGTCCTGGTTCACTTCCCCATGGAAACCATCCTGTTAGGGGTAAAGGGTGGGGAGCCATGTTCAAGTGACTGAGAGCTTGGGGGACTCCCAGTCCCACAACCCTGAACTACAACGGGAGGGCACAGAGGGCTTGGGGCTGGGGTGGAAGGACCATCTCTTCAGCAGCATCCTCTTCTGTCCTCTGCTTCTTGCCCACCCACTTCCAGCCTCCCCCCCATGCCCAGCCCTTTCCCAGTGCCCCCCCCCCCCCCCCAAGCCCTGGCTGCCTCAAACATAAACAGGCTCCTGTCTTCACTTCCTGCCATTCAGGGTCCCGCCAAGCTGGGAACAGGAATCAAGATTGTTTAGATTGGGGTCTGGATAGAACAGGCAGGAGTCACGCACAGCATGGAGTTCAGGGCATATTTTCAGGGCAGGCTGGAGCAGGCACAGGGTCTGGAGAAGCCACCTGGGGCTGGAACACCCCCATGGCAGAATCCTAGGGGGGCACCTTGTGAATCACAAAGCTCAATTATTTATTTTAGAGAAGACAGGATTAAGACTCAGAGAGGAGAGGAGGCTTGTCCAAGTCCAGACAGATTCAGAGGCAGTACCAGGGGTAAAACACAGGAGTCCAGACTCCCAGTCCAGTGCTCTTTCCTTTCTGTCTCCCAATCCAGGCTGGCAGCCTGTGTCTGGGCCCTGAGAGCTATGGCAACCATACAAAGCTTTCACTGTGCTGGCTCATGCTGGCTCATGCTAGGTGACAGGACCCTCTCTGCAACCTCACCAGAGTATAAGAAGCCCTCTCTGTGCCATTCCCTGGCCCCCTTTTCTGTCCTTGCTGTCCTGGGAAAGAGTGGGGGCAGGGCCAATGATATGGGAAGGGAAGTGAAACACACTTAGACACTGAATGTTTGACCTTCCATGGCTGGCTAAGGTTGAACATTTCCAGAAGTTGGATGGAGAGTGTTAAGGGGAGTAATTCTGATTTATGACAGTCCCCAAACCTGGTCCCAAACCAACTAGTGCTTCAGAAGCTACCTCATTCTTCATTTCTCAAAGGTTTAGAACAAGAAGATAAGGGCTGAAGCTGCAGCAAGGAGGACTGAGGTCAGATAGCAAAAAGGACTTTCTGAAAGGTGGTGAATATGCAGGCATTTACCTGGGGACTGGATCCCCGACAGGGCAACCAACACGAGGGAGGGGGAGCATCTTCTGGCATCACATGGTGATGCTGGTAGGGTTGGGCGGATGGCCATGTAGGCTGCAGAAGGCCCATAGTCTAAGAATGGTGCCAAATGAAGATACATGATGCTAAGGCTCTGGGGGCAGGATGGCTGGGACAGGGGGTGGGAGGGTGGACTGTGTATGCCTCTCTGGCTGGTGGCAGCTCTGGCCTTCCTGCCTGGGCTTCCTCTGCCCCAGAGGCCCAGAGCTGGGGGAGGAAATGGAGCCTTGGGCTGCAGCTGTGTCCCCAGCCTCTGCCTGACCTCCTGCCTCTTGCCCCTCCTGGCAGGCAGCGAGGACTCTGCAGTGGGACAGGAGGCTGGAGAGGGAGCCCCAGACGAGCTGAATCTGTCCACTGGGGTATAAGCAGGAAGCCATCCTTGGCAGTAGCCTTTGCTTGCCCATAAAGCAGCTAAGGAAAGGGTATGGGGCAGGAAGGAAAAAGTGGAAAACAATGAGGATGAATCTGGCATCCTCCTAAGGTCCTCTAGCCATGCTCCACTTCTCTGCCCAGGCCCCCTGCACCCTCACCTACTTCATTGGGCATCAGAATCACCTGAAGGGCTTGGTTAGAAATGCACATTCTTTGGTCTCAACCCCACTCCAGATTCTGATTTGGTCAGAATCTGGGACCAGCAAGAAAGACGCATTTTAATTTTTAAATCCTCACCCAAGGATATGCTTTTATTGACTTTAGAAAGAGAGGAAGGGAGATAGAGAGAAACATCAATCAGTTGCTTCCTATACATACCCAGACCAGGGATCCAACCCTCAACCTTTTTGGTGTACGGGACCACACTCCAACCAACTGAGCCACCCAGCCAGGGCAAGAAACATGCACTTTAAAAAAGTTCCCCAGGTGATTCTGTCAGTAGGTACTATAATGTCCTACACAATATTAAGACTGGCCACCATGCTTTCATTTCATAGGACCTGCTGGGTGAGTGGGAGTGGGGTGCAGAGGATGGGACTCTCACTCCCATCCAGGGACCTCCCGCTTTCCTGGAGAAGCATGAAAGGCCGTGTTGTGGAGGGAGGGCAGGTCAAGGGCTCTGCTCTGGACATCCACCTCAACCCTCCTGGGCCCAGGAAGCGCAGGGAGAGCCTGCAGCACTTGAACACCCACCTCCGGTCTGATCCGGGAATGTGGTGGAGTAAAACTGTAACTGTCCAGTTTCTAACTGTGCCCAGTGAGGTTAAATACAGGAGAGTGCTGAGTCCTCACCAGTCCAAACTCAGAGCTGACCCTGTGTGACTGGCCCTGCAACCTGACTGGAGCACAAATCGACTCCTGGGGACGGACGGTATCTCTTCATTTCTAAGCGAAAATTCGTGAAAGATCTTGTGCTGATAGAAGCATCACTGTTGTTGGCCAGAAATCACAAATGCTAAACTAGTATCAAACATTAACTTACCTGCCCTGGCAGGTTTGGCTCAGGGGTTAGAGCGTTGACCTGCGGTCCTGAGAGACCCAGGTTCGGTTCCTGCTAAGGGCATGTACCTCGGCTGCAGTTTGTCCCCGGCCCTAGTTGGATCGTGTGGGTGGCAGCCACTCGATGTGTTCCTTTCACGTCGATGTTTCTCTCTCTCTCTCTCTCTCTCTCTCTCTCCCTCCCTCCCTCCCACTCTATCTGAACAAAAAATGGAAAAAATGTCCTCAGGTGAGGATAAAAAAAAACATTAACTTACCACTGTGAAATCCTTAGTAATAAGAGTTAACCTTCTCTGAGTATGACTTATGTGCTAAGTACTGAACTTGAATGGTTGATCTCATTTAATCCCCACAACAATCCAATGGAGAAACTGAGGCTCAGCGATGTTAAGTTTGTTGCCCATAATCACCATGTGTGTCTTGATCATCTTAAATTAGTGATCATAAATCCTTCCTTGGTCACTCTATTCCTCCAATCGTTTGGTGTTGGCTGAGCTCCACAAAGGAGAAAAGTTAGTGGGTCTCACTCACCAACATTAACAGATTGCCCGCTGCTATTGTCATCAACAGGTGCCCAATGTGGGTTTGTTTAGATGGAAAGACAGAAATCATCTGTTAGCTTAGTCACAGGTGGGAAACCAGAGTTGGGGGTGTGCTTGGAAGGTGGTTCTCAATCTTTCCTCCCCATCACACCCGAGGGATTGATCAAACCTGTTCCCAGCAGCAGCAGTGGCTCAGCACAGCCGTGAAGCACCTCACTCTGCAGGTCTGACCTGAACAGTAGAGGGCCAGACTGAGCTGCTGCTACCAGGCTGTCCTCACCACACACAAAGCACTTTATCTGCATCACTTCATTAACCCTTAACAGCAGTGTGATCTAGCACCACACCAGCATTGTAGGGTCTCAGGCAGAATGCAGAGGCAGCACAGTACAGCACAGAGGTCAGGATGGGGGCTCTGGCTCATGTACACTTGGGTTGAAATCCTGCCTCTGCCGCTTAGAACTATGAGATTGGGAACATGTTAACTTAACTTTCTGAGGTTTGGGCTTCCCTGTGTGAAACGAGAATAATAACAGTGCTCATTTCATAGGTATAATGTAGTAAAATTATTTAGCAGAGTACTAAGTGGTACATAGTAGGCATTTAACAAATGTTAGCAAAAACCCAACCATCCATTTACAACATCCATGGAGCTTTGAACAAGTGATTCAATTCTTAATCTGCTTCTTCTTCTGTAGGAAGGGTAATAACCCTTCTGCCAAGTTGTGGCAAGGACACATGAGAAAAAGGTGTCTGCATAGTTAAGTACTCAATAAATGGTAGCTACCTTTAACCATCCAATGAGATGGAAGGACAGGTACTGGGACAAATGGGGCAGTAGGGATTAGAGAGGACTCAGCCGGAAGCTGCCCATGAGCTACTGTCCAGTAGGGTCCTGACCTTGGCGAAGAAAAGGGGGTGGGCTCAACAGCACTGGCCTCCAGCATAGACTGGAAACCTGGGGTTCCCTCCTGTGGGAGACTGGGATCCCTCTGGCCTGGGTCCTGAAGGAAGGCCATGGCATGGGGATGATCTGATCACGCAGGGTTAGAGGTGAGGTTTGTGGGCTGGAGTTACTGGGTCAGATTCCTTAAGCAAGAGCTGCAAGGGCTGGGCTGGGAAAGCTAGACATCAAGGGGGGGCGGGGGAGCTCAAAACGTTTGAGATGGACCCTCACTCGGAGGTCAAGCCAGCTGCCTGGAGGGACATGTGACCCACTCTCAGTGAAGCAGGCCAGGAATCTTTCTGCCCATTTTACGTGGATTAGAATAGGAGAACAAAGCGGAGTGACTGGTCCCGGGAACAGTGCTTTGATTCCCAGTCCAGCCCCCTCCCGTCTCAGGTGGGGTAGGGGCAGATGTGCCGGAGGGTGAGGGATAGCTTGTGCTCCGGATGAGCTGGGACTGACCCTGCGGCCACCTCTCTGAGGGGCTCTCGGGATCTGCTCTAAGGAAGGGCCCACTCGGGGTGGGGTCAGGCCGCCCCCCGTCCCCGGCCCCGCCCGCGGACCTCCTCTCACCTGTGGGCCCGCCCGGCTGGCGGCAGGGCACGGGCGCGTGGCGGCGGCCGCGGTCGCACCACGAACGCTGGATGGCAGGCTGGGGTCTGGGCGCGGCCGGGACGAGGCTGGGGCCCTGGGGCCAGGGAGGGGCTCGCTCGGCGCTGCTGGCGCGGCGGCCTCCGGGGACTGGGAAAGGGCCTGGAGCAAAAATGTTTCTTATTCCAGCGTCTTCCTGCTTGGCCCCGGCTCCACCACTCCCTCCTAATAAACCGTTTCCTATTGCCCAGCTCGCCGACGGGCCGCCCGCTCGCCCCTCGCCGGGACTGCCGGACCGGACCCTCCCCCGCGCGGCTCCCAGACCGGGGGCAGCCGCCCCTCAGCGCCCCCAGCTCCGTGACCGCGTCCCGTGCCCCCGCCCCGAGCCTCCCACATCCGCCTCCCCGAGGGGGCGGGCCTTGGACTCGGGCTGCTGGGGTCGCACGGGGTCCGGCCCAGAGCCACAGGGGCCAGAGCCCCATCGGATGCCCGGACTGGGGTGGGGGCGCCCCCTGCCACTCGGAGCCGCTGACGGGTAACCGGGCATCTCGGGATGAGAATGGGTCACCGCGCGAAGGACGTGCGGGGAGGGGTTAGGGAGAGAAGTTACCTGTTCCTCCCTACCTTCAACCCCGGTCCAAGGGCAAAGCTTGGGGCTGGCAGGGTACGGAAATTTGGCCCCCCTCTCCTCCCGACCTCGGGGAGTCCCACTCGGTCCAAATCCTTCAGCCCCTTCCCTCCGGCGCCTTCACCTCCTGTTGTCCCCTCCCGTCTTCCGCAGCCTCTCTCGGCCCAGATGGGGCGGCTCTGGGTGCGTGGTGAGGACAGTCTGAGCCCCTCCAGCTGGCGGCCCACAGCGAAGCCAGTGGCAAAGACGCCTCTCCCCACCGTGTGTCTCCAGGCTGGAGGGAGAGGCTGGAAAAGTTTTGGACTGCTCCCTTTGAGGCCAGCCTCTCACCCCCCCCCCCCCATATGGCACTTTAGAGATGGGGACCAAAGCCTCGCCCTGGACATTGCTGGCACAAGTGGACAAGGCTTTGGGGAGGGGAGCAGAATGGCTTCTCCCTGAGGGAGAAACAAACTTTTTTCTCTTCGTCCTGAGGCCCTCACACAGGCTCAGAGCACTGATATTCTTTTTTTTTTGTTTGTTTGTTTTATCCTCACCCGAGGACATTGTTCCATTTTTTGTTCAGATAGAGCGGGAGGGAGAGAGAGGAAGAGAGAGAGAGAGAAACATCGATGTGAAGGGACACATCGTGTGGCTGCCACCCACACGACCAACCAGGGCCACCAGGGCCGGGGACAAACTGCAACCGAGGTACATGCCCTTAGCGGGAACCGAACCCGAGTCTCTCTGGACCGCAGGCCGACGCTCCAACCGCTGAGCCAAACCGGCCAGGGCCGAGCACTGATATTCTTAACTTGCCTTTTCCAACCACTGGGAGCATCCTGAAGACCGACTTTCTTCTGTTAAATGGGCATAATGAACAGTGCCAGCCTCAAAGGGTTGGCTGAGTCTGACACAGGGTAGGCCTTCAATGGAAGTGTTTAATTAAATTAATAAGTGAAAAGGCTGCAGAAGGGGTGGCCTTCGCTAAGTAGGAAGACACAGTTATTAGAAGCAAGAGCAGACCTCTACGGTGTCTTGCTTTAATGTGGAGATTCTGTAAGATGGGCTAGGGACCCCCACCTTTGACAGGGATAGAGCCTGGGGGAGACACGATGGCTAAAGGTTCAGACAGGCGTGAATTGTTGACAGACCTCACTTCCTTGGCTGAAACGCTCCTCATTCCCCTCCGCCTGAGCCCCAAGCTGCTTCACCACTTGTGAGCCTGTGAATTCCAGAACCAAGGCACACCCAGATTTCAGTGTCAGGACAGAGCAGTGTCCTGCAGCCAATAGGAAGTACTATGGGATTACAGAGTCCGCTCTTTCAGATATAGCGGCCACTTGGCACTCTGTTAGCTGGAGACTGGAGAGTGTGGCCACGTGGCCATCTTTTGTACCCACTCTCTTCCCTGCCTTATGATGGCTTCTGATAAACCTCTCCTAGCCCCAGCCCATGGATTCCTGTCCTGGGACACGGAAGTTCGGGCTTTCCCAAGGGAAGCATTCAGTCTGAGACACACACTAACAGAAACACTGAGATGAATGAGAGCTGAGAGTCGCCAATGTGAGTCAGTGGGGGTGGGGGATTTTATCTGGGAACGGTTCATGAAATAGATAAAAGTAAAGTACTTTTGGAGGAGGAAAACAGGGCCTGATGGGGGAGGGGCTGTTCATCAGTGCTGGAATCACCCCTACACTCTCCCCCACCTCCAGGCATCGAGTCCTCTGGACCCTGACTGGAGCTCTTCGGAGCTTCTCCCGAAACCCAGGGCTTCCACAGCATGAACAGAACCTGGGGCAGGCATCAGAGGAGGGACCGAGTTGGAGAAAGCAGCCCAGTGAGGAAAGGGAAAAGGAATTGCAGACTGTGTCCAAGTCTACAAGAATTAATTACACAGAAGGACCAGCTGTTCCCCATAATCAGTAAGGACAGAACAAGAGGAAACAGGCCCAAAGGACTGAGATTTAAATTTAGATATTTAGAAGGATTTCCCAGCAGTGTGTGAAGCAGAGGCCTGAGGCTCCTGGGAAGGATGTGTGGGTGAAACCTCCAGGAGGTTCTCACCTACGGACGGCAGGTGACCTGGAGCCCGGCGTGAAGGTAGAGGAATGAACATGATTTTGCAGGACTGGCTAGGAGTCTTGAGCTCAAGTATTGCTCTTGCCACCAGGGCAGGGCCAACTTCGCGGTTGTTCAGCCCGTGTAGACACAGGGGGCCACTCTTGATTTAATGCTCTGCTGTTGCCATCTTGAAATTCTTACTAATGTCTGAACAAAGGGCTGAGCATTTTCATTCTGTACTGGGTCCCACAAATTATGTAGCCGGGTCTGCACCAGCATGAGTAGGAAGAAAAAGCAAGGGAGGAAAATTAGCAGAGGGTGAGCTGAGCTTTGCTTCCCTTATATAGAGAGTGGGAGATTTAGATCAGACAACCTAGGGATTTTTCAAATGTGAGAGGCATGAAGACAGTAGAACAGGGTGCCTGAGGAGGAAGAACTGTGGGTGTCTTTGAGGGAGAAGTGAGGCAGATACCTGTGGATTCTGTTTTCCATCTCTTCAGCACAGGGAACGGAATCCCAGCTTTGTGGGCTGCGTGCAGCTAAGTTTTGCCTGGAGGAAGAAGTGACCCCTCTCGGTATCCCGCAGCTCAGGGCAGAAGGTACCACAATGTCCTGGGTTCCAGGCCTGGATCACCTCTTTGGGCCTCAGATCCTTCCCAGCCTTATATGACCTTCTTTGACTCTAAGATTCAGGAAACTACCTGGTCTTCAGGCCCTGTCACCACAGCTCAGGTAAAAAGGCAGTTTGGCTGGTGCCAAGGTATGGGGAGGGTGGGTCCAGCCTGGCACCTTAGGGAGAGGCTGGTAGACAGGGGTCAGATTGTGTGAGCCACCGAGTCACCTTCCTCTTCCTCTCCAGCTCTTCCAGGATGTCCCCTACATGGGTTCATCCGCTCCTGGCCCACCCCTGTGCCCTAGGATGACTCACCTCAGGATGGAGCCTTTTGAGGAAGGGCTGGCATGTCGGGGCAGGAGTCTGTGATTAGACGGTGCCCACACAATGCCTCAGGGGGGGTTGGCATGCAGCCTGGGCTCTGATGAGATGCTGCTCCATGACACCTCCTTCCTGGAAGTCTAGTGACCTCTGGAATGTCCCTCCCCACAGGCCTCCTCAAGACTCTGACTTTTCTCTACCAAACTGGCCCCACCAGAGGAGGAAGAGGAGAGGGAGTGCAGAGAGGCCAAGCCTGGAGTTGGAGCCGCTGTGTGAATATCAGCTCCCATACCTGTAAGAAAGGACTGGTATACCTTCTCTGCCAATTCTTAGAATAAGAGCAAAATATCTGTGAGAATTCACTGCCAGCTGAAAAACCTGCACAGACGTCGGGTTTACTTGGAGGGAGGAGACCCAGCTGTGGGATAGGAGAAAGCGCATGAAACGAGAGTCAGGGGATCGGAGGCTGGGCTGTGTGATGGGACCGCTATTTACTTTTCTTTTTTAAATATATTTTTATTGAATTTTAGAGGGAGAGGAAGGGAGCAGGAGAGAAAGTTAGAAACATTGATGAGAGAGAAACATCGATTGGCTACCTCCTGCACACCCCCTACTGAGGATCGAGCCTGCAACAGGGGCATGTGCCCTGACCAGGAGTCAGACTGGTGACCTCTTGGTCCATGGTCGATACTCAACCACTAAGCCATGCTGGCTGGGCAGGGACCTCTATTTTCTTCCCTGCTTAAAGGGGTGCTGAATGATGCCTCTTCTACTAATGCTGCCCGAGGGGTTGTTATACAGATAAATGTGTATCTACCACAGAGGACTTTGAAGTATGAAGCAGCCATTCTGGGGGGAAAAAAAAATCAAGACATTCCTAAAAAACACAGGGTAAAATAAATACATAAAATTCTGTAGCCAAGTTTGTAATGAAAGGCAACTGTACTATCCTCAGACCCTCTTGCTGAGGCCCACCCCCCTCTCCAAGTGTAATCTGTTCTTTTTTCTGACATTTGCTTTGATAACTCCACATAATGTTTACAATGCGAGCTCTAGATTTTGTTCAGCTTTATTGAGGCATAATTGATAAATAAAATTGTAAGATAGTTAAAGTATATATTGTGATGACTTGGTATATGTATACATTGTGATAGGATACTTCCATCTGGTTAACGCATTTATCCTTTTTTGTTTGTTTTTTTTGTGAGAACATTTAAGTATTACTCAGTTATTCAAAACAGTGTTATCAGCTATAGTCACCATGTTTTACATTAGACCCTCAGACCTTATTCATCTTGCAGCTGAAAGTTTGTATCCTTTTACCAACCTCTCCCTATTCCCCCCATCCACCCACCCCCAGCTCCTGGCAACCATTTTTTCCTCTCTATTTCTATATGACTTTTTTTTTTTTATT